AGAACTCAGAAAACCACTATATTTTTTAACTAAAGTATTATTTCAACAAAAGGACACAGATCATAAAGCGAGGTCTGGGAGGGTTCCATGCTCCAGTCTTCCATTGTGTTCTCCCTACAGAGCCAAGTTACATCACCCTCCTCGCGCACGTCAACAGAATACTCGATAACACAACAACACCAACTGGGGAGGCACACTCAAGCTTTGGTGTCCAAAACTTTATGGGGATTTCATTACATAGTTATCACTGTCAGAATCATCTGCTGAGCTCAATTTCTAGCCCCACCTTCCCTCTCTAGAGATCTATCACTGTGGCTCGAAGCCCCAACCCTCTAGTCACATGGTTGCTCCTTCAGGCATAGCCCGCCTCTCATCTTGAGTCATCTCATCAACACAAACTATCAGGGACCCACCCTGAGTCCTCCTGTTAAACTATCAGGACTGACCATAAACAGCAAAGACACTTCCTATCAGGAAATTCCAGGAGTTTTGAGGCGATGTTCCAGGAACCAGAGATAAAAGTAAGCCCAATTCTTTATTATACCGGCTACCCCCTGGCCTTTGGCTATGGTTCTTTCTATATGCCTAACATCTGGAGTAGCCAGTGTGGGGTAGGCACAGGAGGCTTTTGACCCAATGTCACAGTACTTTTGACCAATATCAGTATTATCTCACCAACAATGCAGTGTTCCACCCTAAGTTTGATACATGTAATCTGAAAAATAAGGATAAAAAGATCTGGCATATTTCTGGAGTCCCACTAAGCAGTTGTGCAACAGAACCAACGGGAATTCGTTTCGTGGTGAGTCACAGACACACCAGGTGGAGTTGTTGCACAGAGTGAACTTTATTTGCAGCAAATAAGGAGATCACAGAAGTAACTTTCAAAGCCGGGACTCCCTGAGCAAGGGTGGATGGGTTCCTTTTATTAAGGGTTAGGATGAGTATTTAGGGAAGCTGTAGTATGTAGAGGCTGGCATAAGGCAGTGCATGTGCCTTAAGGAAACACGCCTATACACGTTGTATGTTATATAAATGAGGCTTGTGCGCATTTTAGCATTTTGGTATTATAATGAGCTAAATGTAGTTGGTCATTCTAGAGGTCACTCATGCACAGGCCTGAGTCAGAGGTTTGACTCAAACTGGTCTGGGTGGTCTGGGCCAGTGGGAGGTCTGGTCAAGATGGTTGCTATCACCAGGGGTGTGGATTTGTTTTCCATTTACTTGAGTTAAGAGATGAACTAAAAAGAAGAGTTTAAGGAAAAATGTGGGACAGAAGTCAGTGAGTACAGCAGGTGGGCACTCAAGGTCAGGTCTTGGGGTCATAGCTGGTGACAATTAGCAATTAGTCCATTATATCATATAACCAAAACGTCTCTCTGGGCAAGATTCAAGTTTGCTGGCTTTCATGTGATCAACTCACTTTCAAAAAATAGAAGTTATGGGGCCCCTGGGTGTCTCAGTTGGTCAAGCAACTGTCTTCGGCTCAGGTCATGATCCTAGAGTCCCAGGATCTAGTCCCACATGGGGCTCCCTGCTCGGCAGGGGCTCTGCTTCTCCCTCTGACCTCTCCCCTCTCATGCTCTCTCCTCTCATTCTATCTCTCAAATAAATAAAATCTTCAAAAAAAAAAAAATAGAAGTTGTCTCAGAAATATATGTCATCACCGTTTTAGGCATCTGGTATAATTGAGCTAAAGGACAATATAATCACTTGCTCTGAGCCTCTTTCCAGGTGTGAATGTGATACATCGGAATTCCCTGATTGGGTAACCCATTCATTCATTTTCCCTTAGCTATTATCTCTCCCCTCCATTTGTACCCGAAATGTTTGACCTTTGGAAAGGATGTTCGTTTCAGCTGCTGAGCTGGTCTGGATTGCCAGATACACTCACTCAGCAAGTGCCCTCCCCTCCCCACCCCATCCACTCCCACATATGTAGGGAATGAACGGGCTACTTCTACCACTAGGAGGTACAGCTGCATTAACTGTCAAGGTCAGTTTTGCCAGATGTGGTTAAGGCACGGTCCAACCCATCAAGCCCTTAAGAATTCTGACCCCAAAGTTTAAAGGTACAATTATAGTTTCCTGTTTAAAAACCATCCCTGTTTCCAGTACTTGCAGTCGTGTCCCTCATCCTAGGACCACCGCATTAGTAAGGAAAAGAACATTTGGGATGGGGATGATGTGGGGAAGAAAGAAAAAATATAGTCATTGTCGTACCATGATCCTTCCCCCCCTTTCCCCCAGATACACCAGGAAAGCAGAGGAATTTATGTAGCAAGGACCCTCCCCTGGCTTCCTTCATATGGAATGTGAGCCCACACTCATGAAGTATGTAAGCCAGCCCTTCATGTTTGTATCTCCTCCCGTTGGTCTTCGACAACCAGTGCTCCAGCTACCCTACCCAGTTCTCTTTTAAACTGCTCATCTGAAGAAGATACCTCCTCTGCCCATGGCTAGACAATATGGACTCTAAAATATGTTCCTTAGTCTGAAGAATTGTGATTCAGTGATCCAAGTTGTTGCAGCGTTTTCTGTTCTGGTCCTATTATACTATTTCTAGCATTTACATGTATCACCAAGCAGGCAAAGCCTCGTCCAAAGTGTCTTCCTTTCTGGACCATTTGCAGCCTTCTGGAGCTACTAGCATCGGTCCAACTCGCCAACTTCGTGCGGGGGCCTTCCCCCAGGGCATCTGCCTCACAGCCATTTGCAATCTCTGCCTCTCTCTTCAGCAGACAGAGTAGTTCCAACGGAGAGAGCAGCGCCCAGAAGGGTTCCGTAGTAAGATGGAACTTGTTTGTACAGCAACGTGCTGTTGGGGGACTGACTGCAAGACGGCCCCTGTGAGCAGGGATCCTCTCTCCCGTAGGGTTGTCTTTGAAAACACTTTAAAAGCTGTCAGACCCTGTCACCACTTGGATAGTACCCTGGAAACAGCTACCAACTGACCAGCAAAGAACTGTTTGGTTTACGGAAGGCAGTTCCACAGCAAGTGATAAGCATTAAGTTTGAAAGGCCACTGCCTGATCGAAGAAGGTAAAATACTGATCATCTTTTACCTTGTGCTGTCACAAATGTCAAATGCTGGTTCCTGCTCCACATACCAGCAGATCCATCCAATGATGGAAACAAAATATCTGCTAGTTGGTATACGTAATAGTAACTGCCCATCCACACTGCAAGACACTGATCTAATTAGTAGGATTTTGTATCTGTCAGAGTTACCAATAGAGCAGAATGGAATTTCCAGAAATCTATATAAGAATCTGATGTCTCTGGGGCACCTGGGTGTCTCAGTTGGTTAAGCATCTGCCTTGGGTTTAGGTCATGATCCCAGAGTCCCAGGATCAAGCCCCACATCAAGCTCCCTGCTCACCAGGAAGTCTGCTTCCCCCTCTCCCTCTGCCCCTCCCCCTGCTTGGGCTCACTGTCTCTGCCTCTGTTGGATAAATAAATCTTCAAAAATATATATATATACAATAAAAGTGGCATTTCTAGTCATTCTAGATAAGTATTTGATAAATGTTATTGGGACAATTGTTAACCAATTGGGGAAAAATGTAGATCTTGATTAATCCTCTATCAACAGATAAAGATCTAAGTTATTCATATAAAGAATGTGATAGATAAACCATAATTTATTCAACCTACTCCTTTGGTGAAGAATGAGTTTCCAAATTGGAGTCATCACAAATAATGCAATAAACATCTTTGGACTTTCATCCCCCTTATAAAATGGAGTTCTAAAAGTAGGAATGCAGAATTAAAATGTATATGAATGCTTAATATTACCAGACTACTTTCCCGAATTACAGTAATGACAGGCAGAGTTCTAGGATGACCTCCTTCTCCTCCACCATGTACACGCCCTGCTATAATCCCCCGTACTCTGAGTAATGTGGATTCCCTGATTATGTCAGCCTGTGGCTGACAGCTAGCAAGGAAATGGGAGGGGCCTCAGTCCTACAACTGCAAGGAAACTAATTCTGCCAGCAACTAGTGAGCATGATGCAGCCCCGGATAAGAACTGTGGCCCTAGCACACATTTTTATTTCAACCATATATGATTCTAAGCAGAGAACCCAGCCCCACCGTCCCTGGATTTCTGACCTCTTGACACTGTGAGCTAATACAGTTGTGTTGTTTTGAGCCCCCAGGTGTGTCGTAATGTTACACAGCAGAGAAAATTAATACAGGGAGGATTTACCTTTCCAACAGCAATACGCCAGGTACCTATTTTTCTCATCTTACCAGCATCAAAAGTTAACTATGCATATTGTTTAACTGAGTCAATTTGATAAGTTGACTCAAGGATAAGGAAAGGTTATCTCATTTTTGATACATTTTCAGTAAAGACTCCATTTTGTATTTCTGAGTAACACTGAGTACCTTGCCATGTGTTTTTATTTGTTCAGATTTCCCCTTCTGTGAGTCCCCATTTCACATACTTTGACCATTTTGTTCTTGAGTCATGTGTCCAGGTCTTGTCAAGGGCTTGAGCACATACCGAACTGACTTGTTACACTTCCAAAATCTGTGGGGCTGGAAACAACCCAAATGGTTTAGACATTTTGTACTCATGGCATGACAGGCAGCATGAGTTCCATGTTCACATCTGCTCCCATTGTCCCCAGGTCCCACGTGCGGAGGGAAAGGGCTTGCATCCATGTCCCAGCTGAGGAGCCCCAAGTTTAGTAAACTTCCAGTCTTTTAAAGAGCTGTAAGCAGTTCTGTCCAGACTTTGCTCCACAGAGAGATATCATCTTTGTTGTCCTGGGCTGGAAGCAAATCTGTCCTTTCCCCCCAAGAAGGACACTACTTCTAGCTTTGAATGAGGCTGTGTGCTCTACAATGCTAGAAAAGGCAGTCTGGAATGGAAGCTGACACAAGTTGTGTAAAAACACCATGGAGAATTGCCTCCAAACACATCTACCTTTTGTCTGCACACTTCTCTAAGTAGAACATTCTATCCGGCACTCTAATCTGACTGATAAGACCACATCCATCCATTCAATTTGTAAACAGGGGCAGCTCTCTTATGACCAGTGTTTTCTGGGAGAGAAGAAAGAATTACACACAAGAGTTATAATCCCAAGGGCACCCATTGTATCCCTGAAAAAAAAATGTATTTTCGATTGTTGAAAAAAAAAAAGTGTTTTTGATTCTTGGGGACCCTCCTCTCCCAGTAACACAGCACATCAGTTATAATAGCTAACACTTATATGACATATTTCTAAGAGCTTTACATACATAGACCCATTCAAATCTTACAACACTGTGGTTGATAATATCATTATATTAAATAAGAAAAACAATAAGAGCATCTCAATTGGTTTTTGTAAAAAAATTTGATAAAATCGAGCATTTTTTTTGTAATTTCTTTTTTTAACTGAGATACAACTGACACACGACTTTCACTTGACCTGTACCTGTTACATTAGCTTCAGCTGTACAGTGTAATGATTCAACATAGTCATGCTCTGTTCACAAGTGTAGCTACACTCTGTTTCCATACAACACTATTATAATACCATTGACTATATTCCTTATGCAGTACCTTTCTTCTCTGTGACTTCTTCACTCCATACCTGGGAGCCTGTATCTCCCATTCCCCTTTAAGCATTTTGCCCATCTTCCTGTCCTTTTCCCTCTAGCAATCATCCATTTGTTCCCTGTATTTGTGGATCTGTTTCTGTTTTTTGTTTGTTTACTCATCTTTTTTTTTTAGATTCCACACATACATGAACTCATATGGTATTTGTCTTTCTCAGTCTGACTTATTTCATTCAACATAATACCCTCTAGGTCCATCCATATTGTCCCAAATGGCAAATTCTCATTCTTTTTTATGGCTAAGTAATATTTTGTTGTATATCATATGTATATAGTACATCTTCTTTGTTTATTCATCTATCGATGGACACTTAGGTTGCTTCCGTAAGAGTTCTCAACAGATCACTTTCTTTTTTCTAATTTAAATTCAATTAATTAACATATAATGTATTATTGGCCCCAAGGGTACCGTCTGTGATTCATCAGTCTTTTTTTTAAATTTTATTTATTTGACAGATCACAAGTAGGCAGAGAGGCAGGCAGAGAGAGAAAGGAAGGGAAACAGGCTCCCTGCCGAGCAGAAAGCCTGATGCGGAGCTCGATCCCAGGATCCTGGGATCATAACCTGAGCTGAAGGCAGAGGCTTTAACCCACTGAGCCACCCACGCACCCCTCATCAGACTTATATAATACCCCATGCTCATTACAACACATATCCTCCCCAGTGTCCAACACCCAGTTAACCCCACCCCCTCTACCACCCTCCCCTCCAGCAACCCTCAGTTTGTTTCCTAAGATTAAGAATCTCTTATGGTTTTTCTCCCTTTCTAGATTCGTCTTGTTTCATATTTTTTTCCTCTCTTCGTCTATGATCCTATGCCTTGTTTCTTAAATTCTATATATCAGTTAGATCATGTGATTGTCTTTTCTCTGATTGAGTTATTTCACTCAGCATAATACCCTCTAGATCCATCCATGTTGTTGCAAGTGACAAGAATTCATTTTTTGATGGCTGCATAGTATTCCATGGTGTGTGTGTGTGTGTGTGTGTGTGTGTGTGTGTGTATCAGATCTTCTTTATCCATTCATCTGTCAATGGACAACTGGACTCTTTCCATAGTTTGGCTATTGTGGACATTTGTGCTATTAACATTGGGGTGCAGGTGCCCCTTTGAATCACTACCTTTGTATCATTGTGGTAAATACCCAGTAGCACAATTGCTGGGTCATAGGGTAGCTCTATTTTCAAATTTTTGAGGAACTTCCGTACTGTTTTCCAGAGTGGCAGCACCAACTTGCATTCCTACCAACAGTGTAGGAGGGTTCCCCTTTCTCTGCAACCTCACCAACATCTGTCATCAAACACTATTTCTCGATCTTAAATGAATTCTTTAAACATTTATAATAGATGTTTCCTTAACATGATAAAGAATATCAATTTCCAATCAACATCAACATCATACTGAGGAATGAAAAATTAAAGATAATTGTGTTAATCCCATGCCAAAGAGAAATGACAGAGGTCAGTGACAACTGTTTTATGTAAAAAAATAAATAAATAAAAAATCCCAATATAGATTTACAGAAAGACTGATCCAAATCTACCTGTCTCTCTAACTCTGCTACACAGTGAGTGAAATTTTTCCCTATGAAGACACCCTCTAAGCTACAGGCTTCAAATTTTCTCCCACCTGTCTTCCTCCTCCTCTTCTCCTTGCCTCTGCTACTAACATCTCCAAACTTCACACAGTTGTTCCCAACATCCCGTGATCGGGAAAGATTCTCAAGCACCAGTTCAGAACCCTGTAACTGTGCTCAAGGGAAGAGCACATTAAGGTGGAAAATGAACGAAGCAGCAGAGGAGGAAAAGAGAGAAGAGAAGTCACTGAATCGGACCCTGCAGGCCACAGACAGGAGCTGACGTCTAGCCCAGCTGCATCCCTGGTTAGCTCCCATGACTGTCATTAATTTAGGACTCAACTTGGCACAGATTTCCTATTTTGCATTCCAAATTTGCAAAAATATTGACAAGACAATTGATACTTACTTGCATTTGAGAAAGGGAGTTGGAAACAGGTGAATCAGAAGCAGGATCAGGGAGGAACTTGCTCATCTGTGAGCCAAGAGCCAGGCTCAACCCAGTGACCAGGCTCCTGAGACCCTCAGTTTTCACAACACGGCTGCTTCCTTCTGCAGCTGGGTGTGAGGTAAAATGCCTACATGTGATGCTGTGATCAAACTTTCATTTCTAAAGATAAAATTTCTATCCCTTTCACACAAGGACACATAACTATAGTCCCTCGAAATAAGAAGAGCCCTAGTTCTTTGGAATCAGTCAGTTACAATCATGATGCTTCAAACATCCCAGGTGTTTGTAAGGCCATCAGTTAGAGTGAAACCTTTTCTTTGAACCCGTTCAACCGGAGTGAAACTCTGCCTGCGGTGAAAAAAGAAAGCAGCACATGGTTTTATGATACTCGCCCCACCACCTTCCACAGGGGTGAGACAGAAACCTGTCTGGAGTGAAGAACATGGGGGAATTTGTAGCAGTTTTCATCTGTCATAAATGTAACTACTCGAGATCTGTTCTGTCCCATCAGCTTCTGAGGTCTTGACCATGACAGTGACCAGAAAGAGGTCCAAATTCAGAGCTGAGGGAAACTGGGGTCTCAAACCCGGGAATCAAAAATCAGAGTTCTGCTAAGGCCTGTGAAACCTTTTTAGGCTGCTTACCCCAATTTTTAGGGAAGGCTCTATTTCTAGGCTTCCTGGGGATTTCAACAGTAGAGAACAAAAAAATGAGGGGTGAAAGGTGGTAAGGAGAAAGAGACATTATTAACTCACACATAAGTGTCTTAGCACAAAGCTGGGACAGTTTAAGTACTTAGTAAATGAACTCAGCCCAATCCAATAATGATGGCTACTAAGTATGAATCAGATATTACACCGAAAGATTTGGGAATTCCTTTCATTACATCTTCACAAGAGTCCTGTGAATTAAGCATTGTTGCTGCCCCCAATTAATGGACAGGAAACAAATTCAAGAAAAAGAAAGAATTCTAACTAATGACACAGAGCTCATTAATGACAAACTGGAACTAGAGCCCCAGTGAGCCGGATTCTGAGCTCATGTTCCTCATCGCTGTGTTACATAGTCAAGTTCCCAGGAGAGGTTCTTGGCAGAAAGAGCATGGCGCGCGTAAGAGGGAGGACTGCACTCGGGAAGAATGACTCCACCAAGAAATCCAGGCAGTGTGCCCACATCAGAGTAGGTCTGAATTCTTCCTCTATCTTGTGCAGACCTAAATGCTGGTGAGAATTTAGGTGAGATTCGCCCATCTAAGAAAAACGTCATTCCTGTCCTCTCAGTTTAAGTGGGAGACTCCAAGTTTCGTATTCACTTTCCCTAGCCTTTCCAGACAACCTCTAATGAAGAATATGTTCCTTTGTTCTCCCATTACATGATACACAGATTTGGATGGTCTTCTTAACTACCATACATCAGCACCTAGCACCCAGCTTGCTATCAAATAGATGCTCAATTAACTATTTACACTAATGATTGAATAAATGAATTAATATATCTCTTATATTCTTCCTGAGCCTTTGAACTGATGCATTTCTGGTTATCTCTAGTCTCCCTGAGATTAGTCAGAAATATGTTTTATTTTTCTTTTATTCCAATTGATTTCCAATTCTAGCTTGGATGGATACTTTAATAACACTGTCTTTGTCTTTATTTAGTAACTCTACCACCATCTGTAGATCGTTTCCACACCAGTATGGAAACCTGACATCTAAGAGGCAGAGCCCAATATGGAATATGAAGTTCTCAAAAAAGTACACTTAACATCTTAACGATTCAAATATGATCTCAGAGCACAGCTCATACATAAACGATTTTATAAATATGGTGAAACTATCCTTTCACACAAATGGTGTTTCAATTCTAGTTGGGGAAATGGGAGGCACAATAAGGGGAGGAATTGCCAGGATACATAACCCAGATAACAAAAGCATCCTTGAAATAGACTGATACAGTGATATAATTTGGTCAAGTAATCAGGAAGGAAGGCAAGATGAGAACTTCCAGTGAAAGCACTAGAAACCCTGTAAGATGTAAAACCAGCCACAGTGGTTGTTATGAAATAAATTAGGGTGCCCACTGTCAACAACAACAAAATCTTGAGGAACATCACATGTGTGATGAAAACTTATAATATTAAAACTCTATATTTGAAGAGAAATTCTTTTCAGCACACAAGAAACATAGTAGTTATTTTACTTGTCCAATGAGCATAAATTGTTATTGCCAGAAATTCTCTTTTCTCCTGGCCACTGACTCAGTTATCACCTGGTGGCTCTCAAGAGTCAGCCAGCTTGTTCCCCTTAGCAAATTGTAGGTCAAAATCACAACTTCTTTGTGGAGCATAACAAACAGCACGGAGGACATGGCAGTTAGGAGAAGGCAGTCGGGGGAAATTGGAAGGGGAGGTGAA